TTTGATGGATAAAATCTATTCAACTTTCATTTGAAGTTACCACATCTACTTCCCCAAACTGCTGTCATCTTACATTCTGCAGAGAGAAGAACAAGGATCACCACTGGCTCTTGACAAGAGCAGAGATCTCATCTTTACGGTCACATTTCACTTCATCCACACGTCCAATTTCCAGTTACCCTCCCATTCAGAAAGACAAATTTGGATACTATCATACATTTTAATATATGTATACAACACTTCTCTCACCACTGAGTGTAACAGCACATTTATTATCCTTATGCTGTACTGCTGGTATTTGCAAATTTATGCAAGGAGAAATGAGGCACAAAGTACAGAGAGCATCTAGGCATCTGTTCCAAATTTAATTTCAAGGGGGCTCATTTCTAAATGCCTTTTGCCTTGTCCTTCGTGGCCCTGGTTCCTGCTTCTTTGTAAGATGTCTATGTCCAAATCCACGCTGTCCTTCCTCAAGTGAGTATTAAGTCTAATTCCCTTGAGGATCAACTGCATATTTTCAATGACTTTTCATAAAAACTTTACAGAAAAGCTGCTACATTAAGAGCTATTTGCCATCTTCATCCATTTTCCACAAGTGTAGCAGTTTCCACAAGTATATACAATAGCAGTATTGTTCAGGAAATAAGAGTGACAAATTTTTATTTACATGCAAAGCGTTTCACTGTCTAAGGGATACTCATTCACCAACAACCCATTGCTCATTCCATAGCATTTGGTTTTGGGGCTTTGGGGGGACACCAGTACTAGTATTTATCTCATTTTTCTGTTTTGTTTTTTAATAACATGCACTCTGTATTTAGCAAGTACATACACAGGCTACTCTCTTCTTGTCCCATCTTCTAAGCTCTCAAGAAGCAGTTTCCCAGCAATCCTACTCAGTTTCTATCACTTCCGTTTTTCTAGCTCTATAAGCTATTCAGTCTACCACCAAAACAGGACTTATTTTTCAAGTTGTATTTTGCAATATTCAGACTATAAAGACAAT